TGAGTAGTCAGGACCTCTACAGCAGAATTTTTAGCTGCAGCATTGAATGATCCAGAGCTCTGATGAGCAAACACGATCAGCACTTTCTTTCCTACCAAGAAATGGAAGACTAGATTTAGCCATTTTTAGATCAGAAATAATAACCAAAACATATGAATTGATCCCATTAAAGATTAAAAGTTGAATTTTCATCAGCATCATGAATATTTGAAGGAACAAAGACCAAACTACATTACCCATCTCAGACTCTATATCACAGGCAGTATGATCAACTTTGAAACAGCTGGTTCCAGCTATGGTCACTATGCGGCTTCTTCTTCTGCCTTATGATAATCTGCAGCTGAACTCCACCTGCTGCTTTAATGTACCTCAAGTGTTTGGCTTCAAGTTGACTCAGGTGTTGTCAATCAGCAATGATAAGATTCTCAGCTGTTAGTCTGATTCTTTTCTACATTGGTGGATCACAAACAATTTACAGGTTCACACCACCCCCGTAATGTAGTATGAGTGTCTAACGTCCACCCACTGAATTCTGCTTTTTGATATTATGTAGATTAAGTTTATGAAAAATGTTTTTTGCTTCTTAAATAGATGTACTTCTGGTTTCATTCAGTTCCAAAGATTCCCTCTAGTCCCATCCTGTCTCTCTTGATGCTTCCGATCTTCCTTTTTTAGTGATATACACGACAAAGTTAAGCAATATTTATTCCACTACTTCTTTTTCTTCTAGTCCCTCAACTTCATCAGTGTTTCCCTATAAATTATATTTCTCCTGTCATTAAAATAGGTAATGATCTGCCCTCAGATTCATTATTGCTTATTGTCTTTTTTTTACTATTCAATTCATTGTAAATACAAAAAAATGTATTTGCTGTCTTATATTAATTTCCCCTTTGTGCAATGTTTCCATTTTCTCACTTTAAATATGGATATACCTTCCTAAAAAGTATTTGTAAATGTTATTACCCATGAAAGCTCTTTTAGGTAATGTGTCTGTTATTTCTAAAAGAATGAGACATAGATTGCCAAATTGATGGATAAATGAAAACTGATGTTTTTAATAAAGCTCATTTATTCTGCAGACAATCACACATTTTATTCTACAATTTAAAATCTTTTTTTCTCAGCATTCGTGCTAATCGAAGTGTCAAACCGTGTCATTAAACTTATTGTTACTTTGAAACATGACGTATACATTAATCTCTTCCAATGTTATTTGAATCGTTTTCTAATATTCTTACTAAAATGTGGTGTAATTTATTATTTAGTAACAACACGCCTATTCCAGAGGGGTAACATTTCATAGGCAGGCTCTCTGACACCTCTAGGTCAAACAGTATTTGGCTAAGGCAGGATGGGGTTGGCAGTTTGCCAAACAGCCCAGTATACATGCAGACGTTTTAAGATTATAAAGATATTTCAACACTTTAGTTGTGTTTAAAATGTAACTGAAAATACAGTCAAGCTCAACATTGATACTGCCGGCAGAATTAGATGATGTACTTTTCATTCAACAAAAAGACTTTTAAGTAAATTATACAGGCATCTCAAAATATAAAATGGACAAAAAGTAATTTAAAAAGTTGTTTCATTTGTATTGAAACAAAGATAATTCCCAAATCATTTTCAGAAAAAAAATATTGACATTACAAACAACTTAAACTTTCTGACCAGCGTTTTGTACGTTTCCACAGATATTTTAAAGATCTGTTTGCCTTTTTCTTTAGATGATCTTTTTCCTCATCATACTTACAGTTCAAAGGACTCCACACTTGAGCCAAATGGGTCAAGTGCCTTAACAAGGGACAAGTCAGTATTACATTTTCCAGACGGCAAGAGGACTTTTTCCACTGAACCACAATCACTAAGGAGCGTTACCAAAGATACAATGCCATATAACAAGGCATGGAGCTCCTGGTCTTAGAATGAAGTGCCCCTGTCTACAACTCCAACATTTAGCTTCTTAATCAGATTACACTCTGGCTGTTCAAAAACAATGCTTCCAGTAAGAAAGAAACATTTAATCCTTTCAAGTCCCAAAACATTGCAGTACCTCTAACCAGTAACCCTCCGTTTGCACCTTCCTGCAGAGGGTCCACCACATACCATGTAGTGGATAGGGCAAGTGGACCATAGCAAGTCTACATCAGGGCAGACTCACTGGAATTTAAAGTGGGTGTAATGGCAAATTAAACACTTGACAATGAAATGCTAGTTACTGCATCTTTATCATTTGAAGTCAAGTTCCTCTTTTATATACTTTTGACTGTATTCATTTCTTAAGTGAAAATTTTTTAATTTCATGTCAAACTGCTCAACAGAGCTATAGCCATGCATAGAGGGCATCACTGAGTTTCCATAGGAATGACCTCTTTCCCTTTCTGGTAGAGAGAAAAGAGCATGCCATTTAGGCCCCCCTCGTGAGAATGTGATAGTGAAGCAGTGGTGCATAGGGGTAGTTTTGGCCTAAACCCTCCTGCATGAAAGTATATTTGTGATCCAAGAAGCAAATTACCATACTTCCCAAGTGGTGCCATTTATATTTAGAAACCACTGGTCCCTTGGTTATACTCCGCCATGAACCAATCACAGGAACTATGGACTTATAAAATTCAATATGCACAAGCACAAAC